GCTTCAACAGATAGGAGTGATGGTAAGAGCATACACTCCTACCTATCTTGCAGGGGGCTCCAGTCTATTGGTGGGGAGCTATCACCTGCTGGAAAGCAGGTCCAGAGTCCCCTGAGAATACATCGTTGAGTTGGCAAGTCAGCATGTACTGGGAACCGGGCCCAGCATCCCTCATGAACTCCGCTGATAATGCCACTGATATTACTGATACTATGATGATGATAATGAGAAAACTGATGATACTGATGACCTATTAATGTCAGGTATAAACTATATCAGCATGATCTGGCCTCATAATCTATAGGTAACTCCTAGCCTCCCTTCCTATACCAAATGCAACATTCCAAAGACAATGTCATCCCAACGAATACCAATCAAAGCTGACATGTTCTCACTACCTAGACTATACCCGGCCCCTTAGGTCGTCATGGCAGCACCCCCCAGTTCACCACTAGATTGTCTTCCTCCCTCGACGAATCCCCAGATCTCTCTACCAGGCTCAAGCTCCTGCTACAACAGCTCACAGGGCTACACCCCAGCACCGGCCAGCATTGTTCGGGCATCGGCAAACCAAGGGCACAAAACACCACAGCTTTAAAAGACATCAGTCAGGATTTAAAATCCTGCAACCAATACAAGAGGAAAAACATATGTCGCCTAGGATTGTAAGAAAAGTCTGAAAAACCAGAAAAGCTTGACATAGCCTAATTAGTAGGTTTTTTTTTTTTTTTTTTTTTTTTTTTTTTTTTTTTTTTTTTTTTTTTTTTTTTTTTTTTGGTGATGATGTGAGATCTATGGTCAGATATAAATTACATCAGCACAACCTGGCCTCACAGTCTAAGAACAACTTCTAGCAGCACCCCCAGCCCGGATCAGCACTGGATTGTCTTCCTCCCTCGACGAATCTCGAGATCTCTCTACCAGGCCTCAAGCTCCTGCTACAACCAGGTCACAGGGCTACATCCCAGCACCGGCCAGCGTCGTTCTGGCATCGGTAAACCAAGGGCATAAAACATCACTACTGGGCAAGGCGTCAGCCAGGATTCTACCATCTCTAAAATCCTACCTCCGATATGAGGAGGAAACCACATGTCGCATAGGGTTGAGATAAAACCAGATACGCATAATGTAGCCTAATTAAGAAGAAGAAGATAGGAGATTAAAGAAAAACTCCCCCCTCTTTCCCAACCTATCCCAAAGCTGCCTCAACCTAAAAGAATTATTCCTTATCGGCCCCAACTTGGGACAGTCCCCCCCCTCCCGATCCTACAAAGGCTTCCAGTTCCCTCCCAAAGTAAGCCTCTGCCCACTCTTTACCCTAATCTGCCCCCGCTGGAGTATGATGTCGCCATTAACATACACTCCAGCCCCAGAATAGAGCACCCCCATAAATCTGCCCGCACCCCATCCAGGGCTTCACTTCCCACCTTGTGAACCCCCTGTAGAGTGGAGCTCTCCCCCACACGACCAACCCTCCCGCCATCAGAAAACACCCACCATGCACCCGGAGGAGAATACGAGACAATACCTGGAATCTTTTACAAATTGAGCGCTGAGAAGAAAAGGTGTCTAAACTCAAGTCAATGACGAGTAGACAACCCAAGGAGAAATCGATAATGAACTTAATGAAGATAACTTTAAAGAATATAATTAAAATAGTATTAAGATGGATGATTTTAGTGTGAAGTCATGTAGCATTTAGCATAATTTAGGTATTAACACAATACCGCAAGGAGAGTTTAATTAGGAAGGAATAAGGAACTGAGGAATATGAGGATTAGGCCCATTAGGGACTGAATACAGAACCACATATTGAATTGAGAGAAGAATGAGCTACTCCCTACACACTTGCCCACAACCCCCTCCCGACCCTGCTGCCAAATCCCGCTGCTCCTCAACAAATCTGGACGCAAAAACGCAGGGTGCCTTCAGGGTTCCTTCGGCCAGATGGAAGGAAGCGTGTGAGTGTTCACCATGTATTTCAATTTCGACTTCCCGGTGGAAAGGAACCGGACTGACGCTCCCCAGAATGGATATGGAGCCAGGACCATAAGGACCTGTTTTAACTTTTAAGTTTAAAAAAAAAAAAGGGACTAAATAAGTTTCCTTTTTTTTAATTAGGTTGATACTTGAGGTAAATGTTTAGGTTGATGTTGAAAGAAAATATTATGAGATAGTAATTAGATAGAAATTGGATTGATGACTAGATGATGAGTGATGACTCGAGAATGAAGAAATTCCTAATACAGAATACAGAACCACATATTGAATTGAGAGAAGAATGAGCTACTCCCTACACCCTTGCCCACAACCCCCTCCCGACCCTGCTGCCAAATCCCGCTGCTCCTCGACAAATCTGGACGTGAAAACGCAATGGGCACCCTGCCAAACAACTATCCAGATTATGTGAGGGTTGATCGTCCCTCACTGGTACTGGCCCAATCCCATATCCGATAGCCAGATACAAGAAGGGTGCCTGCAACCCCGTGTGCCTGACACGGCGATCCCAGATGAAAGTTCCCAGCAAGATCCCCGACGAAAGTTCCCAGCAAGATCCCAGACGAAAGTTCCCAACAGTCTGCGGGGTTCAATCGTGATGTGAGTACTAAGTAGGTCATGTGCCGCTTTGCTCCGTGTTGGATGTGTGGACGGCCTCGTCTATGCTCCACCGCTGCCCTGCTTCCTGTCCCGCTTGCTTCGCATGTGGTTCTTTGCACGTTGATGTGTTCGATGTGTGGTGTGGCTGTGTTGTTGGTGTTGCCTTGCGCTTCGCTGCTCCGCTGCCTTGCTGCCCTTCCGCTGGCCATGCCTTCCGTGTTTGCTGCTTGTGGGCCTTGTTGGATGTTTGCCTTGTTGTGGGTGCCTTGTGCTTCGCTCCACGGTTGCCGAGTTGCTTGTCCACTCGCCCTGCCGTCCCTTGCAGTGTGGTTGATTTGCTTGTGTTGCCTTGCGCTTCACTACATGGTTGCCGCGCTGCATGTCCTGGGTGCCATGTCGTTCCTTGCAGTCGTTTTTGGCGTTGGGTAGCCGTGTTGCCTCCACTGTGTTGCCTGGTGCTCCACAGGGTTGCTGCCCGCTGCTATGTTCCGCTTGCGGGCAGTCTGCCTTCAACAAGGGTCAAAGGGTTCATGACCCAAACCATCAAATACGGAGATTCCGCAGATTGTCGAGGGTTCAGCCTCCTGATGAGTCGGTGCAACTCCGACGAAACAATCTATCATCATGTTTTTTTTTATTTTTTTCGGTTGTTTGTTGTTTGGGACTTGTATTTTTTTCTTGCTTGTTGGTTGTTGCCTTGCCCTTGCTTGGTGTGCCTGTGTACGGTCTGCCCTCCCCCCTCCCCCGTGCCCTCCAGCCGTTGTATCTTTAGTATCTGTGTTGTGGACACTCATCATCTTTTGCTTGTAAGTGCACTTGACTGCGAAAGTGTTGGAACGCATCTTAGGGAGGTCATATTGTCTCGTCCCTGGCGAAAACCATGTCTTGGTGTGAAGTTGAAAGCTGGGGTTCGTAATATACTTAAACATCATATACATTCCAATACATACCGCCCATCCCGATTCGCGATCTGGCCATCACGGCCAGGATTCCAACATGGGCCAATCCTCCATCCCCCTATATCCCTTGCCAAGGCATTGGCGAAGCGCAATTTCCATGAGCATCTCTCTCTCTCTCTCTCTCTCTCTCTCTCTCTCTCTCTCTCTCTCTCTCTCTCTCTCTCTCTCTCTCTCTCTC